TAATAAATCGAGTCGGACCGGATCCAAAGTAAAAGTGCTTCTGCACAGAATAGACGAAAATGACTTAATAGACAGATTTAATCTACAGGAGATGAACAGGAATGACAACTGCACACCATGAAATACCAGATGTTGCTGAAACACTAATTGATGAATTGACTAATGGCTTCAGCGCTAATTCAAAACACAACAGTGCCAGCGCTGCCATTAACACAAAGCACCTTTCTCACTGGAGACTCACCGGGACAACTGTTTGTTGTTGTTTGTCTTGTTTGGATGGATGTAATGTAGAATAGAGCTGCACACTTTTCTAATACATGCATGCTCTGGTCTGGTGTTCCATTTGAAGGAGAACTGTGTAATCCCTTGTGTACACTGCAGCATGAAATGCTAATCTCACCCAGATGGTCATGTGTTAGGCAGGACATGTGTGGTGTTTAGGCAGGTGGAGGGCATATGGACGACAGACCACTAACCCCAATGCTGCTACCGCCACCAAGGAGAAGGCTCAGAAGCATGCTGCATGTTACTTCCTCCGAGCCTGCCAAGGACACACACACACAAACACACACAACCACTCTTTCCGAGGCAGAACACTGCAGAGCATGAACACCGGACTCCCGTATCCATACAGCTTTTCTTGGGGAAAATCGGGGCCGAAGAACTGGCATGCATGACTACATAATCCCAGCTTTAGGGATGTTGGAGGAGAGGCCGAATCGATGGCAAATGAGAGGGACAGTGCAGCCGTCCATGGCAACAGATGAGAGTCTGACATCAGGACTCATCCGGGGGGGTGGGGGGGGGGGGGAGTAGACGGAGCAGAGTCCCGCTGCGCATCGACTTCTCTACCTCCAGCCTTTTATTTCTTCCAGCCCAGTGCCGGACTGCTGTGACTGACTCAGTGGCTGCTCCTTTACTGACCGTCACAACAGTAGGTCAGGCTAACTGTGACATTAAAGCAACACCGGGCCGCGGGGCACCACGGAGGCCGCCGCCGCCGCTCACTCTAGCAGCAAGGTCTATGCCTGGTTGAAGGGAAAGTTTGTCTCTGGATGATTAATCATCAGCAGTGGACAGAAACATCACAACTACAGCAGCCTCAATTATGTAGCTGAGTCAGTGGTTGTCTGATATCGATTATTTTGTTAATTCGTTGCTTTGTCAGTTCTTTTTATAAGTCAACCAGTGATTGTCGACCATTTCTGGCCTGATAATAATCACAAACATACGTCGCAGACTGAGGATTCTTGATAGGCAAGGGTCGCTGTTGCTGACCATAAATAAGGGTTGCAGACTGCGACCATTTTTAGTGAGTAAAATGTTTACGTGCGAGCACATGATCATGAACCAATGGTGCCCCCCCCCCCGCTGGCCATTGCTGCACTTCGCGCAGCATTGTGTGCATGTACGGAGTGGAGTAGAACTTCACCAAACAATCCATTTAGCCGTTTCTGTGTTCCTAAAAATGAAGGGGTCAATAGCTGATATTATTTGAAAAGGCAAAATGAGGAGGAGGCTGGCAGGGAGGGAGACGCCACTGATGATGAAAGTGCAGGCAGGGGAGAGACCGGTCATTGATTACTACCATGCTCCTCGGAAAAAAGAAAGGATGCGACCAATTCATGTGCTGGTGCAACCGATTGAGAAAGTGGCTAGGACCAGTGCTACCAGTGGAAAAGGTAGTCTGGAGCACTGATGAAATGGCTCCAGCCCTGGTTCAGATCCAAAAGAGGACTTTGTTGTATGGCCTCTCACGCTAATAAAAGCCAAAATGCCATCTGAAAAACTCTATTTGCATTAATTAGTGAGAAGTGAAAGACTCATTGAATTTCTTTGCTGTATCCCCCTGAAGCCTCCCTTCAGGCACTTTTACATTGACGTGCCATCGAGCCTGAGCACCAGTAAGACTGTGCATTTGAAACGGTGGTGGGGAGGGCCATGACGACGACAACACATGCTCTCATACGTTCCTCAAACTTGAATATATTCCTTATTTACTTACATTGTACTTTACTATGATTGTCTAATGAGAGATGAGGACGAAATTGGACTTCAAGGATATTCCTTTTTTATTGAAAAAAAAAAAGGCTACAAGATGCTGAATAATCACATCTAATAGATTACAGCAAAACCCCGTAAAAACTAATTTGCTCATATGTAGGCCTATAAACAGATGAATAGATAAATAGACGGTAGCCTATACAACATATGAAATAAAAGACCTGGCTGTGTTGACCCGTCTATCAAGCTCCTTCGCTGCGTTTCAGCACCTGGGACAGCGCCACACCAAAACACCCTCTACACACAACAAACAGAGCTATCGATTTGAGAATAAGTAGATATAATTACTGTTGGTGCATAATGAATAATGTAGGACGACTATTCCTTAACCTAGAAAATAATGGATTCAAATACTGATTTCTACAGTCGATAATAGAAGCATTCTGGGAATTCTTACCATTGCGTTTGCATGCGGTTTTTTGGGGGGGGCATTTTGTGTTGGCCGAAATAGCGAGCAAAGTGCGAGCTTCACTTTGTGCATATTGAGTTTTGCCTAATTATAATGCAGTTGTTGATGCAGAGTTTGGAAACATAGGCCTGTATTAACTTGTACTGGATCTTTTTAACAACAGAATGATGGATACACATTGATTTGATTTAATATTAATATGAAATGTAAAAACAACCACAATGTTGCTCTGATGCTTGGCATTGCCTCTGGTAAAATGAGGTATTTATTCTAATTATTTTAAAACAACCTCATCATTTTACAAAGTTAAGGTTTTACCAGTTGGAGCTACAGTCAAATTGATGTATTGCTCTTTGAAAAGGGTGTACTTGCATTGCTATGCTATCATGTTGTCATTAGCTTCTACCAGAGGTTTACAATGATCCAAAATGACGATATCATTTATCACAATTATTTCTGGGACAGTATACATATCGTGCAACAAAAGCCCATTCTTTTGTCCTCTTGTGGGGATGAACAGGTTGGTAATCGTCTCCATGGTGAACATGGGGCCAGCGATACAAACTATGCTTCATGTGCATATATGACTGTGCTGTACTGCTGCTGTTTCTATGAGATGATGACTCAACGGCCGGTCCGGAGTGCTGCTCCAGTCTCCTGCTGCTCACAGTGATTGGACTTCTCACAGCACACACGGTACTGTTAAACAAACAAAGCTGCTACCAATGCTGCTCTTCCATCTCTGCACGGGGAGAGGAGGTGGAGGTGGAGGCTGATTCTGGGAACGACCGGAGAGAGAGAGAGAGAGGGACGATGGGCAGACATGAAGGAGAGGATGTCGATGGATGTGTGAGGTGCGCTATATGTAGCCTGCGTCCAGGCCTCAGTCAAGCCTGAGACGCAGCCGTCTGCTTCTCCCTGTGGAGCTCAGAATGGAGCTTAGTGTACGTCAGCCAAGAGCACGGGGACATATGTGCCATTATTTATAGCCAGCAGATCCGCTGAGAGGCCCAGGGGCTGCTTAGAGAAGGTATTATTTGAGAGCCCAAAGACCTTTTCTTCTCAGGAGAGGCGTTGAAGCTGCCATCAGAACAGAATTACAATGCAGAAAATCCAGTGTGCGTTGAGACCAGTGTTCCCATTGATCCCGCACGATCAGCTGGAACGACAGCATGGATGAAAGACAACAGGAAGCCAGTCGCTCAACATGACACTCTGATGATATTTTTCTGCAACGCTGGAATATTTAAAAACTGAAACAAGTCGGGTCTCTCTCGACACATTTCACGCGTTCGCAGTAGAGCTCCGTGGCTCATATTCCATTTTGTGCACCAGTGAGGTAAAGCAAGTCATAACTCTGACAGATTTAAACTCTGCTTACTGAGGGATTAGCAGTTTCACTGTGGCACCCGGCCTGGGAACTAAGTGAGGGACGAGGAGGTAGATTAACACACACACACACACACACACACACACACACACACACAATAATCAGGACACTGTGGCGCTCCGCCTTCTTTAGTCACCGCTGGCATGGCACTCTTAATGTGTTGGGAGGGTTAACGGTAAATCAATTAGAGTATGGCTCTAATCTGCGTGAGGAAGAGGTTATCTTTCAGTAGACAGTGAGATTAGGGCCGGAGGTTCCCTCACTTGGCCTGCTGCTTTGCTCAATCCACGCTGCCTGTCTGTACGTCCCAATCCTCTGCAAGAAAGCTGCAGCCCAGTCAACAACTCCCAGCCGCCATCAGCCCCCAACGCCACTGAGACAGGCATATAGGCCATGCAATATTCAGCCCCCCGCCAAGAGGCATGGGAATGGTCAAGGTCTGTGAAGTGTCTCGATAAAGGCCACGCACATTTCACAGTTCTTATTCTATAATCAGCCGATCTCATCATTGCTGGGAGATACTGAACAAGTTCCATGTGTCTTTTTTTGGTTTTGTTTTTCTCTCTCCAATCTATTGTGGACTGTAGATGTTCTGTGCAGCCGTCTGCCTCTGCAGATATGAAAACAAGTATTGACATTTGATGTTGAGTAAACACTCCCAGCTGTATTTCAGCTGTCTGGCAACAGTAAGTTAGCTGTGGGAGCGGAGGGAGCGGAGGGGTGTTGTGGATTTTTTCCTATACGGAACATTAAGATCCTGCCTGGGATCCAGCACTAAGGGGGGGGGGGGGGGGGGGTAATTGAAATTCTCAGCGATGATATTGCACTCCGTCTGATGAGCACTGCGCGGATCCCCGAGTCCATTTCAGCTAAATAGGGCACAGTGATAAAGTGGACCGAGTGGACTCGGCGACAGATAACGGAGAGGCACCGGAATCAGACAAGAAATCCCACAAACAGTTTGGTCCAATTAACACTTAAGAGGAATGCAACACATGAACCCGGTTCCCCCGCTGCAGCATCACTGGCTGAGTTCCATGCATATAGAAACCACAGCAATGAGTCAGACAGTTCAAACAGAGTGTAGTTAAGTTACCACAACACAGAGCAGGACTGTGGCTCACTGCGACTTCTTACCTCTGAGGCGTTTTTTGGTTTTTTTCAAACTGCGTCTCTGCCCACGAGATGATGTCGACGGTCAACGCGTTGCAGTTTTCATTTCGACATTAATTCCAGTACCGTTTGTAATTTACATTCCTCGTGTCGGATTCCCGGTCGTTGTCCGATCACTCCTCGTCCCTCCGTTGCGCGTAAAAAAAAAGAACAGCGAGTGAGGCGCGCCCCGCTCCACCGCTCACATCCCGCACACTGACCGCGCTACCGGCGCATCGATCACCTCCAAATATGCCTTGTTCTTAAGTTTGAGAAAACGCAACAACAGCAGGGGTGAACTTTCCACGGAGTGCGACTGTTTTTTTTCTTTCTGTCCTGATGCGCGTTTATAAATAAATGTCCACTCACACGCTGCGCCGGCGAGGAGAAAGACGATAATATCGGAATTAAAAAATATATATAGTTTTTTTTCTTCGCGCTCTGTGCTGTTGTCTGCGGTTTGATGTGACTGCGAACATCCGCAGCCCGTAGTCCGCCCCGTGCACCGACTGCGCCCTGTGTCGAAGGCAGAGAGAGAGAGAGAGAGAGAGAGAGAGAGAGACGGCAGATGGAGTGGAGATTCGCGGGCATGTGACACATTTCAGACGCAAACACTGGGCGTTTCGTATCACACTCGCATCGCTCATTAGCGGCAGCAGTACTTGTGAAAGATATGAATGTTCGCAATGATAATGAGGCTTAAACATTCTTGAAGAAAATGCTGTTTTGTTTCTTTTGTGCAAAACTTGGAACTTTTTCATAAAGGGTTCATATGTTACTGTAATGGCTTCATTATGCGCTTTATTGGACCACTCTAATGAATCCTTCACTTATGATGTGCAGACTTGGATTTTATTACGCAGCTCAATATCCAAGTGTACGGATTCATGAATACTTAAAGTAAACATGCATATATAGCAAGCAAAATGTATCTGATCGCAAGTGGTTCAAATTCTCCATCAGAATATTCATATTCTGTATATATCTCAGCCTGGTTTTGCAACCTCAGTGTGCAGCTGAAAGCCCAGATTACTAATAAATCAAGAGAGAAGTAGAGTCATTTTCTCATAGACTTCTATACAATCAGAATTCTTTTTGCAACCGGATAAGTCGCCCCTGCTGGTCAGTAGAGAGAATGCAAGTTTAGGACACTTCCGCATCGGCTTCACTCAGCATGACCGGAGGTTGCCACCTGGTGTATATTGAGCAGGTTATAAGAGAGCTGGCAATAGGTAATATAGTCCTTTCCACATGAAGATCCAATGAGTCGTCATCAGGTAGGAGACGGATTGTGCATTTCTTCTTGTTTGTGCCACTTGAAAGTTCTGGCTTGCCAGCAGGTAACGTTGAGCACTCTCAGCATAGACAATGGGGAGGAAAAGTGTCTTCATATCAGCTCTGAGTTCATCTTCTAACTCCGGATCTCCAACCCACTCGTCACAGGAGCTCTCTTGCTTCAGGATCAGCCATCACCTTCTCCAACACCTTCTTCTTCTCGGTGCCTGCAGCGCCCTGAGGTGGTCCCTCCCTGTGATCACATCGAGGGGTATGAAGCATTATTCACACAGCTAATTAAACAGCATAACAGACGGCTGGTTTCAGTTCTTTACATACTATATGAACTGTGATAAGTGACATTTCGAACATTTTATGTTGAAATGTGGATTATTTGGAACATGCAGTTGTTTGCACGTCAAAAACCTGCAAGAAAAGAAAAGCTGGAGGTTCTGAATGGTGCAAAGAGAAGGGCTTTGTCTTGTGCTGTGAGACAACATAGGAAAGGTCCCAGCAGCACTGACTGAATGTGAAAGCTAATCTCTAATGCACTTTCATTTCTACAATAAACCACGTAGGAGGAGAGGAATCGGTGAATTCTCAGGCTCTCGTCTTTGAACCGAGTGCCACGAAATATAAAAGCTCTCACACAAACAGAAATGGTCCGAGCACTCAGAACCTGGAGGGAATTGAACTCCCCAACCCTCACAGGCTCCCTTCCTGCGTGAGCAAAGGCTTGACAGGGGTCTGGTTGTCATAGTTTGTCACCATCAAACCTCACATGTATCGAGTGATTACTGGCAGTTTGTATTGGCAGTGTGTGGAAACGTACTGTAAGATCTCCATGCTTTAATCCGAAAGGACGCATCTGTCAGCCTAAACCTGTGTCCCCCTCAGTTATTCAGAACCATGACAGATACCAATTCTACCTGCCATCCTCTTTTTTTAAAGATAGTCATGAATGTATTTTATACTTTAGTAATTCTTGTCTCTGTTCGATTGTCAAGAAAATTATTCAGCGAACTTTTGAAATGTAGCAATAAAGAAATGAGGTGTGTTTCCATTGGCTGGTTTGGAGAGAATAAACTCGGCTACAGCGCAGTTTGGTCGGTGGTTTTGGACGAAGACAACTATTCACACGTTATGGGACTATTGGACGCTGACGGCAGAAACAGCTGATCAGCTATGCGAGTTAAGGGTTCGCTATGTCGGAATGTATTCGGCAAAGGCGATGGAAAAAAAACTTTTTTAAGCAATTAAGGAAATGTTGCCATTTCCCTACAGCTTTCCTAATGCGATACATCCAAAATGTGCAAAAAGTTAAATGAACAACTTTGAGGGAGAACATTCAGAATGACTTGTACACTTGGACGTAGTCAGGAGATGTGACAACAACATAAAGTTGATACAAACAGTGCAGTGTTACCTTTGCGGAGAAAGTTACACTTGTGCACATGAGTGCCCTTTATTAATGGACATCTTGACCTAATGCTTTGCTAACTGTGCGCATTATATAAACAGCTTTCCATTACTGATTAGAGGATAAAACCACCTGTAGAGCCTTAGAAGCTCAGACTGCAGTGGGTGAGTGTGCATGTCATTTTATGCAGATAGCATTGCACTTCCATCTATCAATTAAAATAAAACTGCTGGACGCTGAATGCATTTTAATTCCCCTTTCCTCTGAAGACTCTCATGAGGAGCCATATATGCAAAACACATGGGTGTCCGCAGATGGCCTGTGGGACGGATACCTGTGCTCTTTGCATAAGCAGTCGGGTAGCATTCTGGCAGCGGGGGCTCTCATTTACATCCCAGCAGCATCAAAGTGAGGCTCGCTTTTTGGCACAGAGCTCCTGTGACACCAGGAGGGAGGGGAGGGCTGCGGTGTTTCCAGGAGGCTGTTTGTGTTTTTCCCGGCACCGGCCATAGATGGAAGCCATGATAGAAGGGCAGACGGGAGAGGACACTCTCCAGAAGAGGTCCGAGCCCTTTCAGAGATGAGGATTAATCAGAGGTCACACCAGGCAACATGATTTCATGCCCCCCCGTACAGCTCAGAGGTCGGGTCGAGACACCAGACAGCCTCGCATTTGTCTCAATCTACTTTCCCTGTGCATTAGAACATAAGCCCTCTCTTTGGCCTTAACAATATACCAATTCAGCTCCAATAAGGGTTAACAGATGGATGAGCATGTGAGGTTATATGACCGTAGAGCTGGGTAGTGATGAAGACTGACAAGTACACAGCGGCGATGACTATGATTAACACATTGGATATCTTTTACCGAGAGAAGATTGAAAATGTCGTGTAATGACGTTCCCGCTGACACAATAAAAATACAATAAAATGAAATAAAATAATATACAGTAACTAATATGCAAATCCTTGTATACATATGAAAATACAGTAGTTTATAATCTAATTCATAATTATGCAGTGTATATATATATAAATTATCTTACATTACGATATACTTTTTCCCTTAAAAGGGTAGTTTACAGTAAATTCAATGTGTTACATACATTTTTTGAATTTCTGTATTTTATTTTAGATGCAGAGCCTAAAGTTTTTATGCAGTATTTTAATCAAATTAAGATGTAAAACACTGGACAAGATGGCCGGATTACACAAACCCTCAGCCTTTGTGCCCCGCGGCCCTGTGCCCCTGTGCCCTGCAACATGCACCCTTTCATCACCGACTCGTTCACTGCACAATGTGAGCGCCACCTCGAACAATTGATCAAGTCTCGGACGGTTGACAAAGTCCGGCTTGCCGGGGCAGGCAGTGGAGCTGATGAAAAACGAGGTGATGAAAAGCTCTGTCAGGAAAAGTGGGTCAGCCTGCTCCTAAACACAGAAGCCCGTGCGTCTGACGGTCCACGCTGCTGAAAGGCCTCATAATCAATGAACCTGTCGACTTAATGCTGCGAGAGAGATCTATACTGTACAGTAATCCCTTTATAAATGATGCAGCACTTTACCTAAACCTCACATTTCACAGTGCTCAAACTGCTGCAGAGATTCTTCTGAATCAGTCAACTCAACTTCTGAAATTACTTATTTATTGTCCTTTACTTTGCCTTTTGTGGAGGCACATTTTCACATTTGATATGCAGGAAAAAAAATCTCATTGTTTCCTTATGTAAACATTCAGGCGGGTAAAAGTCATCTAAAAGTTCTCACCTGTGTTAAAGGGCTACCCAGTAATGTCATTAACAGAGCAGTCAAAATGTTCAAAATGTCATTGTTCTCTCAGCACTTTAAGGACTTCTCATCTATGTTGGTGTGAACATTGAGATGTAGAGTTATTAATATATTCTTAAAAGTTCTCTATTCGATAGTCAGAGCATTAATATAGCACCAAACAACTACAGTATTCGCCATGTAAAGATATGGTGGAGTGATGTCTACCTGAGCAGAGAATGAAGTCACTCTCCCTCTGTGTGTGTTGTAATCCGAGCTTCTCTGTGCTTTGTTTACATTGCCGGGCCGGCCCTGCGTGACATTTAGCGCTCGTGAGCGTGCCCCGCTGCCTAGCTCACGGCCGCAACTCTGCACTGCGCTCCTAAAGCTGTTACAACCGATAACGCCGTCCCGACCGAAGGGCGTCGTTGCAGAAGTGAAATCACTTGGTTATATAAGAAAATGTGACTCATTGACCCAGCGTCACGCGACATAACATCTGATGCTGGTTGGACAAAATGTAACCAGTGGATCTGCCGCGTGTAATTGTAGCTTGACAGTGGCAACATCACTCCAATCAGAGACGGCAGTCTGTCTTGCTGGCATTAATGCCACAATCAGAATGAAACATCTTTTCTCTGTGTGATCACAGAGTAGAATGACAGAGGCAAACAAAAAATCATGAATTAAGGGGTTTGTGGGCTTTCAGAGGTTTATAAGGGTGTGCCAAAATATTACTGACCTCAGTGCAACCTAGATAAAAATGTCAATTTGCCGGTGAGACACTGCCAGAAATCATTCATTCAAATCAATCATTGAGACACGGATGTATGTTAATCCACCCTACGAATACACTTCTTCCTCCAGTTGAATGAAGGTTTGTTAAATACAAGGACACAAAAGGTGTTGGAGGACCTTGGTAGCCGAATATTTACTCATGACATACCCTTCTCTCTCTCCCCCCCCCCCGCTGCTTCTTGACTGCCTGCTGTCCAATGATGGCAAAGAAAAATAAATCTTACCAGCTGTTTTGGGAAGAAACTGAGTTTA